GGAAAATATAATATATACGTACTTATATTAAAACCAGACCTAATTACTATTGTATATATTATTTAATTTCTATACAGTTAAAATATACAAATCAACACGCGATTTAACTCTATAGAATTAAAATTAAAATATACAAGACTAATATGTTTATCATATACTATTGAATACCAAATATTAATACAAATCCAATTATATCTTTAGTTTAAAAAACATCATCCGTGCGAAAGCACGGGCCATCCTCTAGTTCTTTCATTAAACATCCCATCATATAAAAATGGGTTATATTAATATATATATATATATACATATATATATATATATAGAATCAAATATTAAGAATCTGACAATGGTTTTTGTTTAGTTAGTTTTCTCTTATGCCAAGAGCACCAAATGTTCTGGCTGACTCTGTTGCTAAACTAGCTCTGTATCTGTATGCAGCAAACTTTTCTTAAGACTTTTATCCATTAACTAATAACAAATATGGATATAATACTATTCATCAATAATATAATAAATCATTCATAATTTTCGTGTATAACTATTTTGTTATAGTTTTTGAATATGTATAACTATATAATTACTGAACTAACAAAATGTTTAACGAGATATATTATACATTGCACCTTATAAATATAAATAAGGAATTATCAAATTTTGACGTTATTCATCCGAGATCGACGACACTGTTCATCATACAATATAGTAAAACATTTTTGTGTTTTATTGTTTAACTAAAGATGTTAAATAATTTATTAACAGTTTGTTCAAAAAAAAAAATAATAATAATAATTTATTAACAATATGAATCATATTGTATCGCGATAAAATTACAATTTATATGATAAACTCGTAGTTATCGTGTTAAATCATTTATTATAGAATTCATAATTATTGTCTTAAATCATTTATTGTGTTAAATCATAGTATTAGATTCTCCAAGTTGAAAATGGATAACATTAAATAATTGATAAATTATTTTTTACAGTTTATTGATATTGATTACGTTATCTTGCTAAAAGATTTGTTATATGTATACAAAGGTATTTTTATTCATATTAAATTAGTATGAGAGAGAACTTATTAAAATATAACTAAAGCTAAATGTTTAATTTTAGATCTTCTATGTATACAGAGTAGCATTTCCCTATAAAAATCACATTTATTGTCAAATAGGTTTTAATGCCTACAAGGCTACGATTTTGATGGTTAGGAATCTTCTATTAAAAAATCCAAAGAAGGAAATCATAGGATTTCAATGTGATTATCATATAATGAAGATTCATAGGATTTCAATATGATTATCATCGATAAGCTTTGATAACGAATTTAGAATTTAGATAACCAAATCAAAATCGACTCAGATTTAGAATTTTTTCTAAACCAGTAGCTAACTGATCTAAACATAAGACCCTAATCTACGACTAAAGAACCTGATCGGAGCTGACTTCCCACGAAGCAGCGGATACTCACCAAAACAATACTAACGGCGAGCGGAAAGACGGGAGTCGAACGGAGAATGCAGAAGAAGAAAGAAGAGAAAGAAGAAGAAATGGAGCAAGCAAATCCGGAAACCACAACTCAGTTTAATAATTTGGTATACTAATTTTCACACAGTTCGGTTATTAGAAATTTGGTATAGTTCAATGTATGAATTTCAGTTTGATTTTTTACCCCACCCTTAGAAAAGAAGATAAATCAATTTTGAGGTTCCTCTATCCAAGTTGTGTATGGAGTTGTAATTAGAAACACTGTGAGGATATTTGTTAATGTTAGGTACTAATTTGATTACTTCATCAATAATCAATAAAAACAATGATTTCTTTGCTCTCAACATTTTCACCTGCAGAGCATAAAAAGTTTAGAATAATTTTTATGAATACGAATTCATTATTATTATTTTTTTAAAAATTCTTATCCGGTCCTACATTTTTTCTTTCACATCATTTTATTTATTATGTCATTTTTGTCTTTACCAATTGGCCAATTCATCAACATCATATATGTGTTCAATGAAAAATAACCCTATGAATAGAAATTTCAAGATCTTGCAATTTTGTATTCAAGAAACACAATAAAGTTCCAAAATATTTTTTCAGATTGAGAATTTAATTTACATTCTAAACATGAAAAGAAAATGGTTATGTATTCATCATTATAGATAATAACGTATGTTTATCTAAAATCACCGATGGCGAGACCAACCATCGTCGAAGTTCAGATGATAGCTCCTGAGATCATAACTACACTGAATGTTATTACTATGATCACTCTTCCGCGACCGCCTCAAACGCGATTTAAGCCTCCAAACAAACTGTTTCACTAGAACTCTCGTTTTCCCACAGCATGAGAACGCAAACGCCACGATCGTTCTTTCCTCTGCGTTTCCTAGCGCCCCAGAAGCCGTCGTCGAGCTTCCGATTCGCTTTCCCCATCTTCTGAACTGAAGTCTCTTTAAACTCTGTTTGCTCATAGCTTTAGAACTAATAATAGTCTTTGTGTGTGTGTGGCTTTGCGAGAGAGTAGTGAGAAAGTGTTAGTAGATGTTAAGAAGAAGCAAAGAATGAGAGGAAATATTTAAAGAGCTAAGGCTATGTGGTTTGCAACGTGTGGCTTTGTAATTCGTGGACTCAAAAAGTATTATAGTCAAAGAATAGTCGAAAATGCATCATTCACCACCATATATCCAAAAATCTTTTTGTATCAAACTAGTATGAAAAAGCTAACATTATAAAAGTGTAATTCAATCTATTACCACTTTAGTAGACTACTACCCCGGTGACGTATTTGCACTTTAGTAATATATTTATCTTGTAGTTAGTGGCTAAACGAAATGGCAAAATCATGGTGTTTAGAAAAGATTTTAAACGACCATTTTTAATGATAAAAAGCATAATGACATGAACTAGTAAATAATCAATAATATGTTAACACATTTCATGAAAGACATATAAATATATTGTAAAGTGATTCAAGATTAATAAATGTTAGTAAATAGTCCAAAGTGTGCATCATTAACCACCATATATCCAAAGTTCAATCTACTTCATCATCTATTATTTACCACTTTGATAAAACTACCCCGTGACATAATTTGCCCATTAACTTTATGTTTCAGTGGCTAAACGAGATCATCTATAGTCAAAATTATGGTGTCTAGCAAGGTTTTTAAACGACCCTTTTAACTAAAATACAAAAATGTTTTACACAATGACATGAGTTAATAATATTAGATAGATAATCAATATACTATCAAATGGCTGATACAAAAGAAAAATATAGTAAAATGATGCTTTTTATAATCCATATGTCACACTAACACTCGTACACGCACTAACTAAATGTTTTTTTTAACTCTTGATTTATTATTTATTGCAAATTATGAGAATTGTTACAATGACGATTCTACTACCGACAATTTTGTCCGACCCTTTTAGATTCACCACAGATTACACCTTTTACTGACGACATCTCCTTCTCCATGCGTAGAATCACGGCGAACGGATCTAATTGTGCATTGTTATAGATTCCTATAAACTTATCTCATTTTTATATATTTACAATTAATTCATTACGAGGAAACAAATTATAAAGAAAATACTGTATTTATAAATGACGATAAGCTACTAAATTCTATTCCCTCAGTTTTAAACTAGTTGTACACGTTAAAACAATTGAGATAAAATTAGAATTTTTGCTTAACATTTATATTGAAAATCTAAAACGACAATACTATGAAACAAAATTTTAACTCTACAACGATAACGAAAAAAATTGGAGCCAAGACATTTTTTTGTGAAACTACATTTTTGGTCTTTAAAACTTATATATTTAATAAATATTTTTCAAAATATGTGTCAAATTTGGTGAGTGTCAGCTCCACATCACAAAGCCTAATTATGGGTCATACCTCGTCCCCAATTTTGAGTGGAAAGGAATCAAACACAACTTTTATTATTATCATAACCAACGGTGAAGCAAAAATCTCAACGATCAAAATAATTCCACTTTTGAAACCAAACACCCTTTATTAAAAAAAAGCATCATCTGATGCAAACTCATGTTCTGTTCTTTTGTCTGAAAATTTGCTGGAAACATATCATCAGTTAAAGTGTTGATTTTGATTGTCTTTCTTTATTTCAATCTCAACCGATCAGTATACACCGTCCATTGCATTAGATCTTGATGTTGATTGATTGATTTACAAGAAGAGGAATATACCAAAAAGACAAGATTATATGCCTACAGCAAAATACAAAACCCCACTCGTAAGTTCTTTCTTGTTACATGACGTAAAAGCAAAGATACATGAGTCAAAGAGACAACGATTGATAACAAAGAATATTCAATTTTATAACGACAAAACTTAAAGTAAAGAAATATCTCGAACCAGAAAACAAAACACAATACAATTCTGGATCTTTCTTGTTACTTATCTATCATGCTATATATTGAACCGCAAACGCAAGAAAAATAGCGTTTTCATAAGACATACTGACAAAAACATCTGCATCAACAAACGTAGTCTTACCTAGAAGAAAAGAAACTAATCTTCTTATACTGATCAATGACCATTAGTTTTTGTCTTAGTGGCATCCGCAGATATGGAATACGTACAAGCACCAAACTCTTTCCACGAGCTCACCTAGACGACAATGTTATCAAAAATATCAAGCTCATTGCAAAAATATCATGAGGGAACTAACAAAATTCAAGGAAAGCAAAGCGCTATGTAGTTGTGTGACTTACAGTTCTTGTGCTCGTTTAGATCTTTTTCGCAACTACAACATCTGTACAAGAGAAGGATATATATAGATATATCGATATCGGTTTTTAACTGTATAGATTCAAGAACGATGTGTAGTGATGTTTAGAGACAAACTTATACCTTGTTGTTGAGTGGTCTAGTTTCAACTGTTTCTCTATTTCGCCAAAATACAGACCAAATAGAGGTGACCTGTGAATGTGATACCATGATTCAAGATTTTTGACAAAATTCTACTTTAGAAAAGAACAGAATACAGAATCTAGCGTGTGTATGAATGAAGATATTACAAATGAAACAACATGATATATAGCACTTGCATGAGTTTGAAATGGGTTGACTTTAAGTATTATGATAGATTTACTTCTGTTTGAGAGACATTCATTGATGTTTTATAATTCGCGGTTAAAGCCACTCAATCAAAATTTCATTATCGAATTCTGAACAACCAGTGAACCAGAATCACAATGAGATCATAGCAGACAACCACATGAAGCTTTTGACTGTTATTCTTTGTAAGCTACAAAACAAAAGATATAATTAAACTAAATGATAAATTTTACAGTTGAACTTACCATGATGGGATTGCAGCTGCAATAAGGGCAGAAGGCAATTTCCAGAGGTGATAAAAACGATTCTCTAGTATTTCTGTTAGATACTCAAGAATCTCTTCCACCTATCCAAAAGGAAAACAAGAAAGTTGGGAACATGGTTTACATACATAGCAAAATATCGAGGCACATAGTTAAATATGGATTGAGAAAATTGACCTTTGAATTCAAAGCAATCTCGTTCTGTTTTAAACTTTTTGATCTTTGAAGAAGCAGCTTACATAACTCTTCGTATTGTTCTGACACAGTGACAGATTTGTAGGAAGCTGACATGAGACCTTCGATTAAATGAGTCCATCTGCTTGTTACACATCCTAGTAGCAATAGCTCCTGCCCTTAAGCAGTATCACCACAAGTGTTCAAGTAAGAGTGACTACCATTTCTTCCAAACAGAAGAGTATAATTAGTTCGACAGTCAGATCAACTTACAATCTTTTCGATGAGTATATCATCATCATTCTCGGCTGAAACACGCAGCCGTCTTAACACTTCTGCCCACTGAGCTTTTGGTGCGGAAAATATCAAGCTTGCTCCAGATACCAATCTTAAAGTTCTCTTACTAAGAAAATAAGATACACCTTTCGATTGCCAGATATTCCAAGTCAAAAGTTCAATAGGCTGTTGTCCCGAGCTAAGAAAAGAAAATCACTTCGAGTTCATCAACAAGTACCACTTGATAATTGCAATATATATGCAATCTCGTACTTCAAAAGCATACATACCCCAACAAAGTTGTATCCTTGTCTTCTCTCTGTAACGGCTCTCTTCGCTCAATGTTATTGTAAAGGATCTTCAAACCAGTCTCAAGCGCTGATACACAAGACACAACAGCTTGCCTCTTGCAAAGCATCCCATCAACTATATCTGTAATACCATCACCTGATTCCACCGCCGCAACCAAGATAGCTTGGAGTTGTTTATCCTTCAATGTCGAAACATTCATCAAATGCTCTAACACAAATTCTCTCCCCTTTAAAAGAGTGTCTGATGATAAACCCTCCAAACCCTGAAATTTTCACCAAACAAAACAACAATTCCAGAAAATTAGAAATCCAACTTGAGTTTCACTTATGACTAGAGATAAGTGAAAACCTAAAAATACAACCTTTGGGAACAAAGGGTTAGCTTTCATCTCCAATATAGCTTCATCAAGCTCTCTCATAGATTCACCAAACATATCTGAACTATTTATGCCTCTCACAACCTAAAAACGAATCATCCCATAAACAAAACGAAAGCGATAGAGGACACAAGCTAATTTAAACGGAAAAGCAAGATAAATAAGCAAACTTTTTCGAAGAAGAGACCCCATTGAAGAGCTTTCTTGCAATTCTCAGCATCCCAATGAGCAGGAACACCAGATGATTGAAACCCAGATGCTAAAATGAGCAAATCCACAAACCCTTTCAGTAGCTTCATGAAATCTTCCTTGGAAATTTCTGGGTAATTCCAAACCATTTCTTCTTATTCTCGATTCGATTGGAACGATACAAACCCTAATTCGCAAAAGCACAAGCGAATTGATCGATCGATGTGCGGCAGTACCATCATCGTATACTCACCCATTGAAAAAGCTTTTGTCTTTGGGTTCTTTCCCGCGCGTTCGTGCCCTAGAAGGCTCGAAGAAGAGACTTTGTGACGTTTGTGACAAAACAAAAGGTTTTCGTTTTCTAAGTAAGAACTTTGTGACGTTTTTATCTGTGTAAATCTACAAGATGTTTAATCATTGCAAGAGAAAACGCTAAGCTGTGTAAGTTACCAGAAGTGGACAGTACCGTACACGATTTATATAATACATGCATCAATAAGGACATGAATGGATGCTGTTTTTTAATTTAGTTTTTGGATTTGGTTTTTAGCTTTTTGAATTATAGATTTTAGTTTTAATTTTTTATATTAGTTTTTGTATTAAAAATCTCTAAAATATGTCTTTTGGTTTTTGAGAAAAATAACATACAAAAACTAAAAACTAAATTTTTTTACTAAATAGGAGTATTAATTTCGTATAACGTCACATGTGAGTGTGACAAATATGTTTTGTTTTGTCAACTGAACTTATAATAATTTGATTAATGGTATATACATGTTTATGGAGGAGTAGTTAACATGACATGATATAACATATGAGGCTATGAGCTGTGAACATGATTTCTTATAAAAATAATTATAAAATCTTCAAAGCAAATCAGATTATGTATATTTTAATTCACTCCTACATAGTGAAGAAGCTCGTATATCTATCTCTATTATTAATGAAATGGTCCAAAGTGTTCATAAGTGCCATATAAAACTTGCAGTAACTAAATTGAAAGTGTTAATCAGAAAAGTTGAAAACATTCTATCCCGATGGCTGATATAGTAATAGTGTAAATCCACCAGAACGATCAAAGAACTACAAATGAGTTGTCAATACTTGGATTGGATTTGGTATAATAACATAATATATCTCTTAAAAAGTGGCACCATGTATATATATATATATATATATATATTAAATTAGAACGTGGAAATGTTAGTTAAAGTTGTTGAAATGTAAAACGAAGAAGGATTAGGTTAATTACACACGAGTTTTCCTATTCACAAAACTGTTATTTTTTTTTTTTTGAACCAATTCACAAAACTGTTTTAGGTTAATAATTTAGGGACTAGAGAGGTGTGTCTCTATTCATATTTTATATTTTTTCTCAATCTATTCCAAAAGTATATGTTATCTTCGAATTATTGGAACAAGACAAATGCTAATTAATAAGTAAATATGTCGTCCGATAAACTCAATTTAATATATTGCAATTTTTATATACAATGGATAAGAGAATGGAACATAAATCCAATAGTATAATATGAGATTTGCATACCAAGATTTAATTTATCCTGACTATAAAACACTAATAATTGTTATTATATATAATTTTACTAAATTTTAACATCATTTTTCGCCAAAATGTATATATATCAGAAATCTATAACATTTATTATATATCTTTTTGGTCTACTATTAATTTGTAACTTTGATTATTTGTCTGGTTATGGAGTAGTTAACATGTCATATGGGATGAGCTGTGATGTTCAATACATCAGATTGTAAATTAGAATATTTCTTGATAATAAATAACATACATATTAGCTTTTGTATTTTATGTTCATCCCTACATAAATCATAAAGCCAATCTTTTTTTTTTTTTGTAAACTTATCATAAAGCCAATCTAGCTGATTAATTTCACACTAGGAGAGAGATCATACAGTCAATCAAGTACCCTATCAATTATTAACAACAATTATTATTTATTCTAAAAATATGAATAATTGAGAAATAATAATATACAATGATCAAATTAAAAAGGTTTCAGTGATGACTAAGTCACGAGGAAGCATCAAGATTGTGGATAGTGTGGATCCAGATTGAGCAAGAACTAAATTTGATTTGGTACAAAAAAGCATTGCCTCTTAAAGTCATACCATATGAAACAAATTAAGAAACCATAAATTAGAACGTGGGAATTGTTGTTAATATATGTAATTTTAAACGACTAAGGAGTTAGGTTTAACAATTACACATGTGTCAGCTATTTACAATTTTTTTCTTTTCCGGTGAATGACTTTTAGAGACGTGCAATATATATCTATAAAATTTGTTCACATCTATAGTCGACTCCCACTTATTTTTTTTCAAAAAAAAAATAAATTATACGACTTAATATGTTTGAAGAAAATTAGATATATTTCCCAAATCTTCTATTGCAAAACTTACAGATCATTATGTGAACTTGGTTCAAAATTCAAGATATATAGTTCTAATTAATTATTCTTGATTACCTCAGGAGTAAAGTCTAAACAATAACATCCCGGACATTTGTTGGAGATTTAGTGTGGTGCAGTTTTAAATAGTAACAAAATATGTATTACTATTTAAAATACACTACACCGTCCGGTTATGTTTCATCAAGCAATAAGTATCAATAAGCATGTGATTATATTCATGAGTTAAAAAAAAAACTATATAAGAAACAAAATTTAGAGCCCGTTTATAAAATTTAAAAGTAATCTAAGAAATGACGCTAATAGAGTTGCTTAAACTAATAACACATTCTCACATTGTGTTATGTCGCTCAACAATGCTAATAAGAACTTAGTCGGAACAAATTATTTTGTCTGCATTTAGATCATAAACATGTTTCTTAGTATAAGTGTACTAAATGTTTGGTCAGTTTTACGGAGCTATCACATTACTAATGCTGCGTGAAATTGAATTAAGTCTTTTTTCTTTCTGGTCATAAATAATAGTAATTACAATTAGATCAAACAAGCTATTGCAAAGGACAATTGTTAACAAACTTAACTGTTGATAAACTGAATAAGGTCATTGTCTTTTTTTCATTCATGATTATATATATATATATCCTTAAGAAAATTATAGATTTATATATATATATATATATATATATATATATATATATATATATATGAATATTATTAGCTAAGAAGACATTTATTCATACACCCAAAACGGTTGATTATATTAAATTGCCATGAGCTGGAATGAGGATGATCATATCCTCACCGATATATTTCACATCAAGACATGGTGCCCACCTTTGCTCCTCACACTCTAAGTTTTTATTATTTATCTAAGTGAATATGTGCTGTCGTTCACATTCATCTCCCAAAGTATTTTAATGTGTGCATATGTATAGTTTAGTCACATGAACATGATAAGATTTATCTCTTGATGTTGAACAATGGTTGGACAAATATGTTAAATAAAATATATGTTCTTACTTTTTCTGTTTCTTTTTGTTTCTATTGATAAGATGAATGTAATCATTTCATAGCAATAGACAAATATAAAGTGGTGTAATTAGCATTAGAATCACATTAACCAAAGAAATGTAAGAAGATACAATACTAGTAAGTTAAATTAGAGAAAAATTATATAAATTTACCCTTTTTTTTTGTGGTGAGTTAATTTGTAAATATGTTTTATTATTTAAGAATTAGACAATGCGCGGTAAAAAAAAACTTGAATGTGGATATGTTGTTGAATTTAATAAACTTCAAATAAGAACACAAAATTACTAATGTTATAGAAAAATATATAAATTTACTGTGTTTGTTGAGCTTTATCTATTAAATTCAAAATATATAATGTATTTTTAAGGTATAAACATTTAAGTTTCAATTAAAAAAAATTAGGGTGTTTTTTTTCTTGGTGGTGGTTTAATTTGTAAAAATGTTTTACTATTAAGTGGTGAAAAGACTTAGTTTTTGTTTTGTTTTGTTTTGTTATGTTGACTTGCACTTCTACATATACTCTATATAAAACCACATCACAAGACAGATCGCAAACTAAAACTAATAATACTCTTCTTCAACGATCATCATCATCATGGCAAGATCCTTGCTTCTCTCGCTAACCGTGGCTATCCTCTTCATCGGAGTGGTCTCAGCTCGTGACTGGAACATCTTGAACCAGCTCAAAGGAACCACAACCACAACAAAGACTAGCGAAACCGCGGTCGCATCTTCTTTGAAAGGACCGAACCTAAACGGATACTGCGAGAGCTGGAGAATCAACGTGGAGCTTCACAACATAAGAGACTTTTTGGTTGTGCCACAAGAATGTGTGTGGTTCGTCCAAAAGTACATGACCTCGTCTCAATACGAGGATGATGTGGAGAGAGCCGTTGATGCAGCTATCCTTTACCTTGGGAAAACTTGTTGCGAGAAGAAGAAGTGTGATGGCATGGATGCTTGGATCTTTGACATTGATGATACTCTTCTCTCTACCATCCCTTACCATAAGAGCAACGGCTGTTTCGGGTAAATTAACTTACCATTTATATATAGACTCTAATAGTCCGATACACATTATTTTTAATTCATATAACTAAAAGTTGTTTTTTCCAAATTATATGATACAAAATGTGATTTATTAAAATGGTTATCACTACAAGAAACCATATCGATTTCCGACCAATATCGTGTCGGAAATTGGCATGTTTTCTTGTAGTGAATTATATTAAAGTAAGTTACATTAGCTAGTTTTTATTTTATTTATATCTTCCATCCGTTTCACAAAGATGTTTTCCGATTATTTGTAATTTTGTATGTTTCATAATAAATTTTGTTTTAGATTTTTAATGTGAAATTTATTCGATATTTTTTTAATAATTTAACTCAATTACATAGAATTAGAATATCAAAAGGCAATAATATCATAGAAGGATATCAATAATTTCATCTAAATTATTGGTTTCAGAAAATATTAAATTAGTTTTATGTGTCTAATTCTATTTTCAATCAGAACAAACCAAAAATAAATAAATTATTGGTTTGGTTACATTAAATTTGATTTTGACTCGGTTTGTTTGGTATAAGAAACCAATAAAATCGATCCGGTTACAAGAAAAGTTGGCTTGATTTTCGGTTTAGAACGGTTTAGTGTCTACCTCTATCATTATAAATCCGGTTTATAAGTTTATACCGGTATTGAAATGTTACATTTGATTTGAATCAGCGGTGAGCAACTTAACACGACCAAGTTCGAGGAATGGCAAAGTTGGGGCAAAGCACCAGCCGTTCCAAACATGGTGAAGCTGTTCCATGAGATCAGAGAGAGAGGTTTCAAGATCTTTTTAATATCTTCTCGTAAAGAGTATCTCCGATCCGCCACCGTCGAAAACCTCATCGAAGCCGGTTACCACGGCTGGTCTAACCTCCTTCTCAGGTACATATATATTAACCGGTTCAATTCATTCTCAATAATCGAGTAAAACCGATTATTATGATATAATAATTTTTTTTCCTAACCGGAAATTGCAGGGGAGAAGCAGATGAGAAGAAGAGTGTGAGCCAATACAAAGCAGATTTGAGGACATGGCTTTCAAGTCTTGGTTACAGAGTTTGGGGAGTGATGGGTGCACAATGGAACAGCTTCGCAGGTTGTCCAGTTCCCAAGAGAACCTTCAAGCTCCCTAACTCCATCTACTATGTCGCATAATCAAAACCATTCTTATTGTCCTAACCAAAAACAATAAGATCAGAGTTAACTCTGATTCTTGAGTCTTTCTTTTATGTCTCTTCCATGATCAAATGCTTATGATCTCATGAACCATGATCATCTTTGTTTGTCTTCTTTTTTTGGTATTACCATTATGGGCCTTTGTGAAATTGATTTTGGGCTTTTGTTATATAATCTCCTCTCTCTATACCTAATTAGTTTCAAGTAAGACTAAAGTAGAAATACATAATAACTTGAAAGCTACTCTAAGTTATACAAATTCTAAAGAACTCAAAAAGAACAACAAACAGCAGAAGTTGGAAGCTCAACCAATTAAATAAACTCTGACTACACTGAGCTGTCTCCTTCTTCCACCAAATCTTTGTTGCTGTCTCTTGAAGCTTTCTTATGACACAAACCTCAGACCCAATTTCACCTCACAGTTTGGTACAACCTTAGCTTTCTTCACAACAAATTCAAACACTTCCCCTCTTATATTACATCTGATCTTCTTCAATCATCAAAACACATAGTCACATACATATCTCTATATCTCCTTCTGCTCTGCTTTGGAGCTCAGCTTGCCTTGCCATGGAACCAAACACCATGGCCAGCTTCGACGATGAGGTAAGAGAGAACGAAAGAAACAAAATCAAAATTGTTTCCTGTGTTTTGTTCCAGTTTATTCAGCTACAGTTGCATTAAAATCTTAAAGTTATGTACTTTTATGGATGCAGCATCGTCATTCCTCCTTCTCAGCTAAGATCTGCAGAGTCTGTAGCGATGAGGTCAAAGACGACGACAATGGCCAGATTTTTGTGGCATGCCATGTGTGCGCTTACCCGGTTTGCAAACCTTGCTATGAATATGAGCGTAGCAACGGTAACAAATGTTGCCCTCAATGCAACACTCTTTACAAACGCCACAAAGGTAAATTACACTTAGCCCTGTTTTGTTCTGTACCCCTTGCTCGACTCTCATATTGGTGAAACGATTTGTTGGAAGGTTCTCCGAAAATAGCTGGTGATGAAGAAGAAAACAATGGTCTTGGTGAGTCAGAAAATGAGTTAAATATCAAGAACCGCCATGATGCTTCCTCTATTCACCAGAATTTTGCCTATGGATCGGTACTAAAATGACTTGAATTTTGCCTTTACTCTTCCTTTCCCATTTGGAATCAAGATTTTGAGTATTTTATGGGTATTGCAGGAAAATGGAGACTACACCAGTAAGCAGCAATGGCGTCCAAATGGTCGAGCCTTTTCTTCAACTGGAAGTGGTATATAAAAAATACATCTATGTGTGATTTTTATATATACTTAGATATGTATAGAGCAAATTCTGAGGCGTGTTTCTATGTGATTTGGTCTGTGAAGTGTTGGGGAACGACTTTGAAGGAGAGAGAGATGGCTACACAGATGCAGAGTGGAAAGAGCGAGTAGATAAATGGAAAGCGAGGCAAGAGAAGAGAGGTTTAGTGGTAAAGGGAGAGCAAACAAATGATCAAGACAAAGAAGATGATGAAGAAGAAGAATACCTGTAATAAACAAATATCTGATCATTCTTTATCTTTGGGCTCAAGTAATAGAGACTTGAAGCATAAGTAACTGAGTTCTTGTTGATTACAGAGATGCTGAAGCAAGACAACCTCTCTGGAGAAAAGTCCCAATTTCGTCTAGCAAAATCAGTCCATACCGAATCGTGATCGTTCTTCGTCTTGTAATCTTAGTTTTCTTCTTCCGTTTCCGTATCTTGACACCAGCCAAAGACGCATACCCTCTCTGGCTTATTTCAGTCATATGCGAGATCTGGTTCGCACTCTCTTGGATTCTCGATCAGTTCCCGAAATGGTTTCCGATTAACCGAGAAACCTACCTGGACCGTCTCTCGATGAGATTTGAACGAGATGGCGAAAAGAACAAGCTTGCACCGGTTGATGTGTTTGTCAGTACGGTGGATCCACTTAAGGAACCTCCGATAATCACAGCCAACACTATTCTTTCAATCTTAGCCGTCGATTACCCAGTGAATAAGGTGAGCTGCTATGTGTCTGACGACGGTGCATCGATGCTCCTGTTCGATACATTGTCTGAAACTTCAGAGTTTGCAAGGAGATGGGTTCCGTTTTGCAAGAAGTACAATGTTGAACCAAGAGCTCCAGAGTTTTACTTCTCTGAGAAGATTGATTACTTGAAGGATAAAGTCCAAACTACATTCGTCAAAGATCGCAGAGCAATGAAGGTCAGTGACGAAAGCTCTTTACTTTCAAAATCACACAACAAGATCTTTCCTTACTTATCAATATTTTTGCAGAGAGAATATGAAGAATTCAAAGTGAGGATCAATGCTTTAGTGGCTAAAGCTCAGAAGAAGCCTGAAGAAGGTTGGGTGATGCAAGATGGTACACCATGGCCTGGGAACAACACTCGTGATCATCCTGGGATGATTCAGGTCACTACGAAGCCTCAAAACCCAACGGTTCCAAATTCCGATCAAAGATTCCACCTTTGGAACTAAAGAAACTCCTTTTTGGTTGCAGGTGTATCTAGGAAAAGAAGGAGCATACGACATTGATGGTAACGAATTGCCACGTCTTGTGTATGTATCAAGAGAAAAGCGTCCTGGTTATGCACATCACAAGAAAGCTGGAGCCATGAACGCAATGGTAAGCAAAGCAAAGCAAACAGCCAAAACCTCTGTCAGAAACTAAATCTAACTTTTCTAGTAATGTTGCAGGTCAGAGTCTCTGCAGTGCTCACAAATGCTCCATTCATGCTCAATCTTGATTGTGATCATTACATCAACAACAGTAAAGCCATAAGAGAATCAATGTGCTTCCTAATGGATCCACAGCTTGGTAAAAAGCTTTGTTATGTTCAATTCCCTCAAAGATTCGACGGAATCGATCACAACGATCGATACGCCAACAGAAACATCGTCTTCTTCGATGTAAGTCTTCATCATCATCATCATCACCACAACAAAAAACCCCAAATTTCAAATTCAAAACCCTAAAAACCCTAATCTTGCAGATAAACATGAGAGGCTTAGATGGAATCCAAGGACCAGTCTATGTAGGAACAGGATGTGTATTCAATAGACCAGCACTATACGGATACGAACCACCGGTATCGGAAAAACGGAAAAAAATGACCTGTGACTGTTGGCCGTCGTGGCTCTGCTGTTGCTGCGGCGGAGGTAACCGTCATAACCACAAATCGAAATCATCAGATCCGTCAAAGAAGAAATCAGGAATCAAGAGCTTGTTATCAAAATTAAAGAGGAAGAACAAGAAGAAGAGTGATGAAACTACATCGACGAAGATGAGTAGCTATACCAGGAAGCGATCGACGGAGGCGATTTTTGATTTGGAAGACATTGAAGAAGGGCTTGAAGGATACGATGAGCTTGAGAAATCGTCGTTGATGTCGCAGAAGAATTTTGAGAAGAGATTTGGGATGTCACCGGTTTTTATTGCGTCGACGTTGATGGAGAACGGAGGCTTGCCGGAGGCGACGAACACGAGCTCGTTGATCAAAGAAGCGATTCATGTTATTAGCTGTGGTTATGAAGAGAAGACTGAATGGGGCAAAGAGGTAATTAATTATATACTCTTAACGGTAATATTTGCATCGTCTAAAAAACGGTAATATTTGCAAATTGCTAAAAAAAAAAAATTGAAAACATATTTGCTTAATTTTGTGTTTTTTTTTTTGGTAAAATTGCAATTTACAACTTGCAAGTAAATTTTTTATTATTTCTAAAACAAAAAGAACGAAAATTGAAAAATTAACATTTTATTTATGTGATTCGACGATAATTTAAATTGCGGAATATATCAACTAAAATAAATTGAGATTTGATTTGAAACTTTCAGAATTTACTACTTATAAGTGTTTTGGAAAAGAAAAAAATAGTAATTTTTCAGGATTTTACTTGTAGACTAGAAAAGAACCCAAAAATAAAGTGTTATTTACAATTTGGTAACATAAATAAAACAAACTTTTGATTTAATTGCAAAAAAAAAACTCATAATCGTTTTCGAAAAAAAAAAGTAAATCTTCAAGAATGTAGACTAAAAACATCAGTAATTATTTATGTTATATTTTTGCAATTAAGTAACATAAATAAAACAAACTTTTGATTTTTTTTTTGCGAAAAATAAAACTCACCAACCTGTTGTAATCTATATAACAATATGATCTTGAGTGTGGACACTTTTAATACTTAGCTCTTAATATTTGTTTTTTTATTTGTGGTTATTTTATTCACTTTTGTTTTCAGATTGGATGGATTTATGGATCAGTGACAGAAGATATCCTAACAGGATTCAGAATGCATTGTAGAGGTTGGAAATCAGTTTACTGTATGCCTAAAAGACCAGCTTTCAAAGGATCAGCTCCTATCAATCTGTCTGATCGGTTGCACCAAGTGCTTAGATGGGCACTCGGTTCGGTCGAAATCTTCTTTAGCCGTCATTGTCCTTTGTGGTATGCTTGGGGAGGCAAGCTCAAGATTCTTGAACGTCTTGCTTACATCAACACCATTGTCTATCCTTTCACTTCTATTCCTCTTCTTGCTTATTGTACTATTCCTGCCGTTTGTCTTCTCACAGGCAAGTTCATCATTCCTACGGTAAGTCTTGTTATCTTTTTACACTTTTATCCACAAATCATTAGAAACCAATTCATCGTTTCTACGGTAATTTTTTTCGAATCGCATTTAAATCATTTTGTTATTCCATAATATAACATTTTCATTCATAATTTTAACTAAGTATATCGCTCCCTAGTCATATCGCTCCCACACTCAAATCGTAATGCACCAAATAGGATTACAATTCGGGACCTTAATATGATTTTCTACTCTTAAAACTCCTAAAGCTTGCACTTTTACCCCTAAGTTATCTAAAGGCTTACACTTTTCCCTAAATGTTCTTGATTTGTCGAAAAATTCAACAAATGATCAAACTTTAATAACGCCCATTTGCTCTGTTTTTGATTCAGATCAACAATTTCGCAAGTATATGGTTCCTAGCTCTGTTCTTATCAATCATCGCGACGGCGGTCCTAGAGCTTCGATGGAGCGGCGTGAGCATCAATGACCTCTGGCGTAACGAGCAATTTTGGGTAATCGGTGGTGTCTCAGCTCATCTATTCGCTGTCTTTCAAGGTCTTCTCAAAGTCCTCTTTGGTGTTGACACTAACTTCACCGTCACGTCAAAAGGAGCAAGTGATGAAGCTGATGAGTTTGGAGATCTTTACCTCTTTAAATGGACAACTCTTCTCATCCCTCCGACCACACTCATTATCCTCAACATGGTAGGTGTTGTCGCTGGAGTTTCTGACGCTATTAACAATGGATATGGTTCTTGGGGACCGCTCTTTGGGAAGCTGTTTTTCGCGTTTTGGGTCATTGTTCATCTTTACCCTTTCCTCAAAGGTTTGATGGGTCGACAAAACCGAACCCCTACGATCGTTGTGCTTTGGTCTATCCTCCTCGCGTCTATCTTCTCGTTGGTTTGGGTTCGGATTGATCCGTTCTTGCCCAAACAGACTGGTCCGTTACTGAAACAGTGTGGTGTCGACTGTTAAATTAGTCACCGCGACTGCGTTTGCGTTTTAGTCGCCATTTTGCTTGGGCTATTTTTTTCCGATTTGGGTGTTTTTTGTTGGATTTTGATTATATGGAATTTGTAAGGAGGAAAACAATTCAAACTTTGAATCACATGTAAAATACAAACAAATAGAATGAATAATATTAAATCAAATCACATACACAAAAACACAAACACAAAAGGATTTGGTAATCAACCAAAGACACACCACACACAAACAAACAGAGTGATGAAGATAAATAATTTCACAAAGGCAATTTAGTAACAAATAAATGAAATTTTTCTCACAGTGTAAACCAAACATTTGTGGAAACGTTTCACTGTTTTTAAGAGCTTTGACGATATCTGCTGGTGGCCATTGAGTGATTGTTCCAGTAACCACCAACTGTTCCGATTATCGGTGATTCAGGGCTTCTACTTGGTGATTTCCTCGGCGAATTTGTGGCTGAGAACTGCTTTATCTCCTCTGTAGTCAACGCGCCTAATATAGGTCGTTCGTCGTGGCTTTGAACCGGTTTCGAGTGTTTCTTCTTCTCGCACATTGCTGTTCCAACACTGCTGCTGCATCCGCTGGTCGTGGTCTGCGATGTAGATAACCAAGTTGAGAGACTAGCATCAACAGCTACTTCTTGAATTCTCTGTTTCTTAGTTTCATCAACCTGAGGCTCTAAGCTGAAGGAAGCATTTATACTGTTCTCCTTTCGAGAATGTGTTTGTGTTTTCTTTCCTTTGGATTTCACAGCTTTCCATTGGTTAAGATTCTCGATCGGGTTCAGTACTGCATTGACATATCCACTTCTGTCTCTAGCACTCACATTAGTCTTTTCTTCTATCCTCTCTATGTCCATACCATTCTCTGCAATCTCCTCAGTATAAACTTCTTTATCCCAGCTGTGCAGCTTATCATCATAACAATCATCATCATAATAGTCTTCATCAAGCATCCCACCATCATCATCATCATCATCTAGATCGCTTTCTTCACAATCCGTTACATCCTCCTCTTCATCATCACTTTCTCTACAATTCTGGTATCTATGGTTTGAAGGATAAGACCCTGACGAGTTAGAGGTTACATCACTCCCCTCAGACTTCACTTCTTCTTTCTCCTTCTCTTCAAAGAACTCAATAGATTCATTTACTACAATGTGTTCATATGTTTGAACCTTAGTGTTAAAAGTCACTCTCTTTCGACTCGGACTTGGACTTGGACTACATTTCTTCTCCTCAACCTTGTCACTGCAAAATTAGAGAAAGAATCAAATCTGTTTAGCTAAAACACAAAAGCACAAAAACATGATTCTAGGTACAAAGAAGCAAAACCACAACACTTACCAGACATTAGTGACTTGAATCACAGAGACCTTAGGGACTTCCTCAACACTCAAATGATCATCCTTTGGAGACACCTCCACAACACTTGGAACCATAAAATTCAGATGATCATCCTTTGGAGACACTTCCACAACACTAGGAACCTTAGAATTCAGATGATCATCCTTTACGAACAATGGAACTTCCTCAGGAACCTTAAGATTCACCTGAACATTATCCTCTGTAGACCATTCGGAGATTCTCTACATAAAGAAGAAACAAAATTGCATCAATTCAAGCTAAACCCAACAAAATTGAAGCTAAAGCTAAGCTTAATCAAACCAACTCAATACACATTAAAAAACTCGAAAGATGTGATTTTTTTTCCCCTGAGAGCTTACGTTTAAACGTGGTTGGAAAGATTCACGACGTCTCTGACGGCGACGATTCTTCCGACGACCGAAGCAACCTAGTAAACAACCCATTTCTCTTTGAAATCCTCAAAGAGCTAACAGAGAGAGAGTTTGAAGATAACAGAGATTTACTAAAGAGTCAACATTTTACAAAGAGATGATTTTTAACTCAACTTAAGAACTTAGAAGAAGGGAGCTGAAGAGAAGAAGTGTGAGTGTGTGTAGTGTACTCACTCGATTTAGCGATTTAGGGTTTAATTTTAATTTTGTCTTTTAGATTTACCTTTTTTTTTTTTTTTTCAACGGCAAATTTACTTTTCTTTTTAATTTCAGTTTATTAAATTTGTCGGAAGAAGATGACCGTTACAAGTCTGACCCACGCGTTAGACTGTGAAAATTGGACCGTTGCTATGTAGGCCACTGCTTTATTAATAAAAAACTAAATATTTTTTAATTGGAGATAATGGGCCGTAGTAAACCCAATTATGAACGGTCCATTAAACTTTGGACGAGATTGATATCGACGGTTGCGTGTTTACTGAAGGGACACGTGTACGGACGAAATCAAATTGTTTTAGCGGGAAAAATTTACAAATGGAGCTTTTTTGGCCATCTTTAAGTATAATAATAATTGCCAAAAGGTTTTGCTATATTTTTTTTTAACTAATTGCAATTTTGCTAACACCATTTGCTGTATAGAAAAAGTTATGTAGATTTAGTTACATTCAACATTATGTTTGTATTGAATCTCCACATAGACACCGTTTGTATTTATCATCACTCTTTTAAAGTTCAACTGGCTGCAGCGGTTGAGGCGGATAAATCTGTCTATAGATTAGAGCGTTTATATTTATCTTTCACAAATTATGTTTATATTTATATAGATTTAATAACAATAAAAAAGCGCTACATACCACTTTTATGTACAAATATAGCTGATCCGTAGTGGTTTGTTGGTCGCCCTAAAAATAGTGTAGACTAAACCGTTGACGGATTTTTCTATCTTGACCACAATAACCATTCACACTGTTAGTATCGACCGATACTAGCTCCAAAGAATTCTAGAATCGGACATCTTTCTTTTTTTTTGTTAATAAACCTTATCGGCTGATTTGGTCAGCCTCGGGAGAAACACACCAAAGTGTTTCAGAGTGGACTTCTCCCCGAAGGACCACCATACTGTCTATTCCGAGTTTGGAATGTTTTCCGACTAATTCGAGGGGGTAACTAGGCCGCCTGCATTTCTGACTACCAGGTAAACCGTAAACCAATTGAGCCTTAGCCCAATTGATAGACTTTCCATACAACCATGATTTTTGTTTACAGAGTGGATCGAATCTCGATTAGTTCCTTTCAACTTTTCCTCAATTTTCCCTTACTATTGGACCACGGCTGTGCGGGTTGGACATCTCATTTCTTGACATTGATCCCACATTGTACCAATTCTCAGTATACTCTGGAAATATAAATAAAACCGTATTTTTCTCTCGATACTTAAATATTGTATAATATTTCAATGTAAACGTTGTTTATATGAACAAATATGCCATAATTTATTAAATACTGGTTTTTATTAATTTATAATGATAGGTAATGATATAACCATACAAATATATCGACCGATATGTATCATGATCTTACTAAACAACAACATATTCCATTTGGTGGGTTATTAGCAAAGCACATTAAAAAAGTTGGATCTTCAATTGAGGAAGTGCATATGTTCTTGCAATCAGCATCGGTTTTACAAGGGCCTTTGTAATTACATGTAGCTGAAAACATATTTTAGAAACTAATCAAGTATAGAACTAATTTTGTTTACCATTACTCTTTTGATAAGAAGAAGTCTAGAAAGAAAATATTACCACCATTTGATTGAGAGACTAGAAGAAAAACAAATAAGATCATAAAAGCAAGTTGAAATTTTTGTGAGGCCATTATTATTATTTTTTTTTATCACTTTCCTTTTATGATAATAGTTTTTTTTTAATTATTTTTTTAGTTCTAATGATCATTTCCTTTTATAGACCAAATTTCTGCATCCATTTCTTTTCTTTATAATTATCTTTATATCTTTACCTAAAATCCTGAAAATATTGCATTAATAATTTCCATATTCTTTGCAATAACGAATCCAAATATGTTTATGAATATCTAAAAATAAATACAAAATATCTACGAATCTTAAATACTCTTGCTATATTCATTGGGAAGTAGAATTAGTGAAAAAGGCATAGTATTAAAAGTTAGTATGTTTTTAATTGATGATTTTTAAATGTGGCATGACACGGTTTCCTAGAAAAAGAGGAAATGTTTTGATTGGTTGAAATAAAATACTCCCGACGAATATATACACATATATGTTTATTTATATATTTTAACAATTGATTAGACTACATCTCCCAAGTCCCAATATCCCCTAAAACAAGAGAAAGCAAGAATTACTGTAATTTCACAAATTTGAAAGAATTACTGTAATTTCAAAAACTAGAAAGAATTACTATGATTTCACAAATTTTACATAAAAAGGAATAAAATAGATTAAGGGTAATAAAAGCTGTATAAATTAAGAATGTTGAGATTATGGTCTATTATTAATTTAGGTTGTGAAAACATCTAAAAATAACATCAAGGAAAGTTTGAAATAAAAGTACTATAAAATAATAGTGTTAAAACTAAAATACAACCATGATAAAAAGAAAATTACAGAATACAAATTGTTAAATATGAATAAATTTTTATTTAAGCTTAAAACATAATAGAATTTGAAATAAAAGTTTCCAATAAAATATCACTTACTATGTGAACTGAAGGGAGTAAATACTAATTATTATTTTTATGATATTAATGAGACCATATATTAATATCTTATTGAATTTCCTGAGCTTCCATTAACATCACATTTTGTCCCATTTTCAAACAAGAAAAATAATTATATCATATGTGAATGCATTCTCATTCTTATTATAGAAAAAATATTCGAAATCAGAAAATGAAAGAAAAAATAGATGGAAAAATAAATCATACACTTTGGAAACAAAAATTAATATATTTTCATTAGCTTTGATACTATTATATCATTATATAAAGAAATTATTTAGCTATAAACATATATATTATATATTTTTTTAAACCAATTAACCATTATTATGCTAATCCTGACAAGATTTTGTATTTACGTAACATTTTACATATATTTTCGTTATAAAAAAATAAATTAAGAAAAATTTAAGAAAAATTTATGTAAAATATAAGCAATATAGAAGTAAATTTTTTTTTTTTATGTATGTCTATTTTATATCAAATAAAATAAACTTTTAGTTATATCATCTTTTTTTTATAACTTGTGCATTTTGTTAGTTCTCTTAAAAGGTCTTTTTGTATAAGTTTAATACAAGTTTCTCAAATTTTGTGGGTTTTTCTCATATTCTTTTGAAAATTTTACTATATTATATAATACTCTATCAATGTAGATAAACCATTAAGAAATATTAAAATGGATTCATATTTAATAATGTGTAACTGTCATTCTTTTCCTTTTTCTGAATAAAGTATAATTGTTTTCTATGTCTCAAAAATAGGTCCTTAGTGAGTTTTTAATTACTAACTTAATGAAATTAATTAGTAGACTTTATATATTAAAATTGAATAAAATGATACAAGTCAAAAGATTTATACATATATTTTTCTTCTCTTTTTTTTTTTGTAAACAGCTTGCAATTTATTAAAAAAACATATGTTCAATAGACTGTTTCCGGAATAGGCCCATACATTAATCCCCTTAGGGCCCAGTCCAATTACATCAAACCAAACCAGATAACTAGATAACCATATATTCTTCTTCTCCCTCTTCTTATATTCTAGCATTCAAAGTTTGAATTTTTTTCCTCCTTATAGATAACTAGATAACCATAGACCACCTCTAATGGGTGTATGTTAATAAAAAAATTTAGTAATTTTTAGTTATTAAATTGTGTACTTTTAAAAAATAAGAAGTTTTTGAAGATAATTAAAATTATTCATCTCCAATGGTAAAACTCTTAATAGAAGTTCTTAAAACAAAAATTTGAAAACTTAAATTTTATAAAACATAAAAATTATTACAAATACATGATATTAAACATAATAAAAAATTATCTAAAAACTTCATTTGGTAAGTTAATAGAACTGACTTCTCTTATAGTGACATGTGTACTTAACAAATTGTCTAAAAACTTCTTCTCTAAGAGATATCTCTTAGCTTATTATTGATTAATGGTTTAATTTTTTCTCTTTTATTTCTAAGATACAAGTTAGGAAACCTGCATTGGACATGCCCTTAAAGTTTGTAACACTCTTGATTTTTAATGGATTTCATCAAAACATACTGTAACACCACTCTCCGCCCAACCCACAAATTAGGCATGTAATGTATACCAAACCATTAAATGCTCACCTTCACTAAGCTGAACCTGACAGGTCTGAATCTTTCCTAGGTCTGAATCTTTCCTACAATCAGAGTTCCAAATTTGAAGACAATAGTTCCAGAAATTGAAGGGAATCCAGGGATTGATATGACCAATAGTTTTGTTCTTTCATAGATAGGTAACAAGAAAAGATAAGTCATTTTGGGACTTCTTGTTGGCGTTTTGGTTGTGCAGTTTGCTGAGTATCAGTGGAGGATTCGTTCTAATTTATTTTCTTATAAGAGTGAAGCCCACTAATAGGCAGTCATAGCAGGATAAAGCGTTTGACACACACTTAGCATTCTTTTGAGCAGCAGAGCAAGGTCGTGGAGCTTGAGAACACAGTGCTCATTTAGTGTATAAAGACAAACTCTATGATGGGATAGAGGTTGCAATAAAGATAATAGAGCAGTCTGTTATAGGTGGGAAAGGCGCTAATGATCGATTAAAAGCACTATATAAAAGCATTTGACTAACGCTACCATAGAACGATTTATGATAGCATATAAAAATTATATAAAAGCATTTGGTTAACGCTACCATAGAACGATTTATGATAGCATACAAAAAAGTGTTATTGTATGAGGTGACCCTATTATAGTTGGGGCAGAGATAGCGTTTGATAATTCGCTATCAATAACATATAATGGCGTTTTTCTAGAGCTAATAAAACCTATATTTCTGGTAATGTGAATTTAGATCCGAGATTAGAGTTCTAACTAAGTTTCATCATCGTAAGCTTGTGATTCACCATGACTCCATGGGTAATGCCTCGATGAAAACAAGAGGATGTTGGTTTACCTAAGCAGACATCTTTTTTGATCAGAAAGACCAAGGATTGTGACAACTTTTAACACAATCCCTAATCGGAAGGATCAATGATTGGATCAGACGCCTCTCTATTGCACTGGATGTGGCTAGAAAAATAGAGTATATCATACTTTTGGCACGTCAGAGTCACAAGGACCTGCGCGAACATTCTTCAGAGAGAAGATATGCGCGCCAAAGTTTCTGATTGTGGTTTAATCTGGTCTACATAAGAAGGCAGACAATCAATCATAATCAAGTTTGTTGGAACAATCGGTTACATCGAACTAGAATATGCATGTATGGTTTTCTCATTATTGTTTGATTTAATTATATAAATTCTTTAGCAATAAAAATATATATTAAAATTCTGGTTGAAAACAAATAAACCATTATTCTGTTTTCATTAGCTTTGATTATATTGTGCTATTATTGAGAAGATCTTGCATTTACGTAATATTTTACATCTAGTTTTAATATAATAAAAATTAAGAAAATTTTAAGAAAAAATTATGGAAAATATAAGGAAAATATAAGCAAAATATAAGCAAAATATAAGCAAAATATAAGTACAATATTTTTACGTTTGTGTGTTTTAGCAAATAAAAAAAAAACCTTTAGATGCTATATCGTTTGGTTTTTTGTTGTTGTAACTTTAGCATTTTGTTAGTTCTTTTTAAAGTTCTTTTGTATAAATTTTTAAACAGTTTCTCAAGTTTTGTGGGTTTTTCATTTTGTTTTCAAAATATTAATATATATATATGATACTCTAATAATGTAAATAAACTATTAAGAAATATGAAAATGTATTAAATAATGTATAATTGTTTTTTTCTTTTTTTTCTGGACAAAGTATAATATTTTTATTTGTGACCAAAATAGATCCTTAGTGAGTTTTTAATTACTACCATAATGAAATTAATTAGTACACTTTCTTTATTAAAATTGAATAGAATGATACATGTCAAAAGATTATGAGACACGTCGCAGCTTCTCGGAATTTAATTTTGTGGAAACTTTACTTTATTATATAAGATATGTTTGATTTATAATTAAAATCTGAAAACTTTGTGATTTGCACCATAAGAAAGAGTGAGTACAAAGGTTGATGTGTACAGCTATGGAGTTATTCTAATGAACAGCCAAAAATTTATAGATGAGACTCGATCTGAAGATGATCCTCACGTTGAGAAAGAGTCATTGGCAAAGGTAATTGACGACATCGACGAAGATACCCGAAGAGACATCGAGGAAGTAGCTAAACTCGCATGTCACAGCTGCACCAAGGAACCAGAGCAGAGGCCAGAAATGACTCTTGTTTGTCTCTGTTTCTTGCATCTCTCGTTGAGCAATGGAAACCTAACTGTGAGTTCAAAGTCGAAAAGGACAAAGATATAAACAACATATAGTCTTTAAGAACTTGTAAGTAGATGGAAGATGGATTTGAAGGCAAGTAGCAGTTGTTTTAGTTGAGTTAAGTATGTTGTTAAGTACGTTAGTTACTTATAGAGGTTGTATTGTCTCTAATTCGTTGATACATCCTATATATCTTTAATTTGTATCGATGTTTTCAATCTTGGTGTTCTAATTCTTGTTTTGGAGAGATTTTTAGTCTTTGTAATTCATTTATATCTGCAAAATAAAATAAAAAATAAACTGTTGAAAAAGATAAGTTTGAGAAAATGACTAAAGATCACATTTTATTGTTATAATTAATAGTTTACCTATCGAACTCTTAAAGGAAGTAGTATATAATTCCTTTTTCTTAACCAAAAACCAAGTGATGTGACCAATTTATTTCTTACGAATAACATAATACGGAATTAAGCAAAAAAAAAAATTGATTTTCTTAAGAAATTATTTACATACAGTCTACTCCTTAAGAAAATTCTTAAAAGTATATAAGAAGAAAAAAGTCAATTATTTATTTATTTTTTTCTTATATTACTAATCTAACAAAGTGAAGTCATTAAATAAATTTGGGGAAAATCCTTTGAAAATCTTTAAGGTGGCAACGACTTCCACGGTTTATTTTTCAATAATTTTAAAATATAGGGCCCTAAATTATATTATTAGTAATAAATTTGTAAGTTGTTGTCACATTATAAGTTTTTTAAAGGGATTTTCCCAATAAATTTATAATAAGACCGACAAATCTTTAACATTAAGATTCATGTTAATGGAACACTGGGTTTCGACTTTCGAGGTTAATAACTTGATCCAGCTATTGTCAATTTAAGCTTCTTAATTAATTAGGTGCATCACATGATTAACTGAATCTACATGGACACGCTATAATTGCTAGATGCAGTCCCTATCCAATTACTGTTAAGAATGCATTTTACGCATTATTATAAACACTTAGATAAGAATGCATTTTACACAACTTAGATAATAATGCATTTTAGACATTGTCCCTATCCAGTTACTATTAAGTATTAAGAATGCATTTTACACACATTTTCTCTAACATTTAGATAAGAATGCCTTTTTACACATTGTTCCTATCCAATTACTGTAATTTTCTTTTATAAATTAATAATATCGAAACTATGATATACAGTATTATTAATTTATAAAATTATTAGTTTATATATATATATATATATTAATTGGCATTGAAATAAAAATAATAATACTTTGAATTCGAAAAGATGTATTGCTTTATCGAAATATAGAAAAACAAAAATTGAAAAAATAAGCTTGTAAATGGAATTTATAGCCAATTGTCCCCATATTGTACCCATCACAAAATGCAAGTAGTGGTCTGTCTTTCATCATATTAAAAAATCTTGTCTCCTCTTGTACTGTGCCATTGTCTCCTCTTCTACTGTGCCATTGTCTTCTCCTCTTGTTTGTCTTTTTTTTTTTTTGGTAAGTGTCTTCTCTCATTTAATGAGACTAATTGGTTTGTTGTTTGGTCTTAAATTTGAACCAAATCCGTCTGAGACTAAAGCTTCCCCGCTGGACCATAGAGTTTATAAATACGATGTCTCTTGTCTACGTTTTTCATGTACTATTCTCTAGTTTTTGCAACAAATTAAATTATGAGGGGCCAATTACAAGTCGTAAGATTTAAGTAACATGGGTAGATATAAACTTAAAAAAAAATTGAATCCATCACATCAAAATTGTGTGGATGCTAAAAGCAATAAAGCCACGAGGGGAAATTGAGTAGTTGACCAACGGCAAAAGACATATAGAATGAAATGTGAATAAACATATCTTATATATAGTAGAAATGATAGAGCAATTAAAATAAGATAAAAGTTTTAAAATAATCTATACTTATATGATTGTTTTTTTTGCTTCTGGGAAAATTGCTTTGCAACTTTATATGATTGTTGTATAGATCTAATGGGGAAACATGTACATGAAGTAATTACAAATTAATGATGACACTAGAGAAGTATACAACAACGGTTTTATTCAAAAACATTTCTTTTAAATATCTTTGCATGGGTGATTTTATTTGTTTTTCACAAATCAAAAGTTTTTTATTTTTTCTTTTTGTACAGTTTGTCTTTAAATATAACCCACTTGATACACGTTTTTTTTTTTTCTACATTAGGTACGATTTTGTTGTCTTGCCAAAAAGTTAAATGTAAAGAAAACAAAAGAAAGCATCAAGTGGTGTATATTCCTTAAAGTATTTGTTCCATTTTTTAATGTATTTAAGTTGGAAATTAAAGAAACAATCATAATCATGTTATAGGTTCCCCACATCGTAAACGAGTCTCCCCTCCACTCCTATATTATCACGTTTCTTTCTTCTACTCATTTTTATTATTATTTCACAAAAGCTCTCAGCTATGGGAGAGAGAAACGAAGCAGAAGCTGTAGAGAAGACTTTGGTTCCTCTTTTAAAGTATCAAAATGTTGTGGCCGAGGAGGAAGAAGTAGAAATAAAGAGAGAGATATGGATTGAGACAAGAAAGCTTTGGCGTATCGTTGGACCAGCCATATTCACTAGAGTCACGACCAACTTGATCTTTGTCATCACTCAGGCCTTTGCTGGTCACCTCGGCGAGCTTGAACTCGCTTCCATCTCTATTGTCAACAACGTCATCATCGGCTTTAACTATAGCCTCTTCGTATATATATATACACACTCCAAGAACACTTTCCTATACATATATAGCTTATATTATAATGTTATGTTAATGTTTCAAGAAATTTATATATATGTAGATTGGAATGGCGACTGCGTTGGAAACGCTTTGCGGTCAAGCCTATGGGGCAAAGAAGTATGAGTTGTTTGGAGTGTATTTGCAGCGATCTTGGATTGTTCTCTTCGTGTGCTCCATTTTGCTACTCCCAATGTACATCTTTGCGTCTCCTATTCTTAAGCTCTTGGGTCAGCCTGACGACATCGCTGAGCTCTCTGGTGTCATCTCTCTTTGGGCCATTCCTACACATTTCTCATTTGCCTTCTTTTTCCCTATCAACCGGTTCCTCCAATGCCAGCTTAAAAATTCGGTATGTAACTTCAGATTTTGAATGGTCCCAAATAGACTATAAAAATTTTCATTTATATATCAATTAACTATACTATAAAAATTCAACCAATCGTAGATGCTAGTTATCTAGTTTTGACACACAAAATGTTATTTTAACCAATATTTATTTTATTTTATGCAATTTCGTTTTGTGTGTTTGTGATTATCTCTTGCATTTGGTCGTCCAGATGTGTATTCTTATCTTTTAGAGGTACCTCCTAAGATGTTTTTGTAGTATATTTGTTTTTTTTTTTTCCGGTCATTTTTAAATCTTGGAATGTTGTATTGGTCAAGGAGTTTGGTACACCAAGAATAGATTAAGAAGTATATATAACATGCCCAAATGGTCAACCACATGTTTCTTATTCAAGAAGCTGACCCATTTTGATATGAGAAAACGGTTAACCGTTGCGTACCCGGTTTATCAACAGCTTGCTCAAACCAGTTGTGAGTAGATCCGACCCGGACCGGCCGGTGGACCGATCGAACCATTTTACTATTTAAGCATGTATATACACTTTTAAACATAAGTGTTATTGTCCAAGTGTTTGGGAGATCCAACCCGGACCGACCGGTCGACCGATCGAACCATTTTACTATATAAGCATTTATAAACACTTTTTAACATAAGATTTTTTATAAGTTCGAATTGTCCAAGTGTTTAGGAGAGACTAAAGACAGTTTTGTTCATCCAAATTAGTGGAGAAATCTCTATCATTTTCTCTCTTATTTATTTCGTTACGATAATGTTTTATTTCACTTTTGTATATATTTTTTTTATGCATGACATGAGTGAGTAGTCTTCATATAATATGGGGTTAGGTAATTTTTGATGCATTGAACTAGATTATTAGTTTCCTCCATATATAATATGCTTGTATAGATTAGCTGTAGATAGATCTTTAAATTAGATCTTTATCGTCTGGTATGTCTTCTATAAAATAATGGTTTGACTTTAATATAATGGACTTTGATAGTTTGATCCCACACCCACAATGGAAGTTGATGTTAAATACATAACTCGTGGTCGTGGAGTCATATAATTGAGATTATTAGTTGATGTGTCTTGAGTTTATAATTTGCAATTTGAATTTTAATATAATTGGATATTGAAATGCTAAAACCATGGGAGTAGATTAGTCCTGTTGACGTTCTCATCTTCCAACAAATAAGCTTAATAAATGTTTTTGTATCATAAACTAATTGTTGGTCTATACTAATCCATTGCCTTACCCATGATCTATAGTTATATACTAATGCTTGCTTTTTTTTTCAATTGATTATCTTGTTGTTATTATCTTGTTTGTCTTTTAGCAAATAACTATAAAATATATACGTTCCTCTAGCTTATTTGAATTGGAAAAACATGTCACATGAACTTTTAAATTCTGGACCAGAAAGATATGAATAGGTTAATTATACATATTCTCTTACATAACCACCAGGTAATTGCGATATCATCTGGAGTGGCACTTGTAGTTCACATATTTGTGTGCTGGCTTTTTGTATACGTCCTTAAACTTGGAGTCATAGGAACCATCGCTACGGCTAACGTGTCATGGTGGCTCAATGTCTTTATCTTACTTACTTACACCACTTGTGGTGGTTGTCCACTCACTTGGACTGGTTTCTCCACCGAAGCTTTCACCAGACTATGGGAATTCACTAAGCTCTCTGCCTATTCTGGAATCATGGTTTGGTATATTACTCGTTAAACGCCACTAGTGTCGTATGTTACTCTTTTTGGTGGACTATATATGATAGGAACACGACTTCTTACGACAAATCATTAAACCTTATATATACAGCTTGGAGAATTGGTATTATAGGATTTTAATTGTGATGACTGGAAATTTGGAGAATGCAAGAATTGATGTAGACTCCATCTCTATATGGTACGTCAAATATATGGTTTTCGATATAAATAACATATTATATATGATTTTTGTTTATGTATCAATGATAATACACATTTTTTTTCTTACAAATTTTTATAAAATACAATTTTTTTTGACAGCATGTCGATAAATGGTTTAGAGATGATGGTTCCACTTGCTTTCTTCGCGGGTACCGGGTAACTAATCTATCACCTTTTGTTACTATTGCTCAAATTGTACATTCATTTTTGTTGAATTCGATCTATGTTATCCATAATCTAGAAATCGGTTAGATCTTGTTTGGCTAGTTAGTAGGTCATGGTTTCTAAATAGACGATTCGCTATTCTCTGAGTAAATGAATAGAGAATTATCGATTTTTCCATTCACATTTATGGAATTGTACTAGATAAATTTAAAAATGTACAAGTTAGGTAGAAAAAGTAACGTTGTAACACTTTAAACCTCAAGAGAATTTTACAAACATTATAAACCACCTAACTAAACCTAATTTTCCCATGCTTTTTGCTAGTTTAATTGTATGTAATAACATTAATTAATATGATTATAATTTGTTTATTTTTTCTAGGGTACGAGTGGCGAATGAATTAGGAGCTGGAAATGGGAAAAGAGCAAGATTTGCAATGATTGTATCAGTGACACAATCGTTAATCACTGGAGTATTATTTACAGTGCTCATAATATTTCTTCTCAACCACATTAGTTGGATCTTCTCTTCAAGTGAAACTGTTTTAAAAGCAGTAAATAATCTCACTACTCTTTTAGCTTTTGCCATTCTTCTCAACAGTGTCCAACCGGTTCTTTCCGGTAAGCTACAAAATAAGTTCTTAACCTTTGATCGATCCCTAAACCGGGTCGTCGTCGAAGATTGTGTGGTTCAATTTTTGATGACACTTTTTGATCAGGTGTTGCGGTTGGTTCTGGTTGGCAATCACTAGTAGCATTTATAAATTTGGGATGTTACTATTGCATTGGACTTCCACTTGGATTTGTCATGGGATGGATTCTCAAGTTTGGTGTCAAGGTAACCCTAATTTCGTAATAAAATTTATCATATCAAATGAACAATCTTTGAAAGGTTTATGTATATTATGTTGTGACTGTGGTGATTAGGGCATTTGGGCTGGTATGATATTTGGAGGGACAGCTATTCAAACTTTGATATTGATTTTTATTACTATGAGATGTGATTGGGAGAAAGAGGTAACTCAGATTTATTTATTGTTTGCGTATATGATTTTACTTCGAGTATGTTTTTTTTTTTCACAATTGTTTCATCGTTTATTTTAAATTTTGTAGGCACAAAATGCAAGAGTTCGAGTCAAAAAATGGTCTGTACCAAACGCTAAAAGTTGAAGAGTGTATTGTATCTATAAATTTTGCAAAATTTAATTATGTTAGTTTGTTTTTTTGTATTGAATAACATATATTGTATGTTGTCATCTTTAGTCACACATTATTGTTTCTTAATCTCAGAATTCAATAATATATTAATATCAATTTAATCAAATAATTATATTTTGTGAGAACTAATTACAAGCTTGAGGATGCTTTAGCCAAGTATCATATTCCCCAAAATCTTCAATATTTCTTTCATGCTTTTGTATCTCTGTCTCATGTAAATCACAAACAGTACTGTATATGCTTATAATATATACTGTTGGGTTGATAAGGCCTCAAATGCAATTAAGCCCAACAACCAAAAGGTGAAGCCCATTGTCAACCGTGTAGTCAAATTTCTCTACAACGGTAACAGTCTATGTGCTGTGCAAGTAACCACCAAACATGATAATCCAGAAAGCTCCCTGCACAACTGTTTTGATCCCCTGCATCTAAGTAGTATGAGGATTAGTCATGCGGTGTGTTATTTGATGCTCATAAGTTTTACATTCTGGACCTTCAAAAGAAAACTAGCTAGTGTTCCTCGGATCTGTTGATTCGTAAGAATACTACTATAAACAAAATAACGTGAGGATTTGTTGATTTTCCGCGAAAATATACCAAATCCTACCTCTTCTTATATTCATCGAGATCTCGCAAAATCTACTAAAAGTCTAAAAATAAGCAAGAAAACTCTTTTCGGAAAAGCTAAAAGCTCTCTAAGTTTATTAATCAATCAATTGCATGCAAATGAAGCTTAAACGGCTTATGTATACTAAAACATAAATACCTTTAAAAATCTCTAAAATAGTTTTTAAAACCCTAAAAGTAAATATTAAAAAAATATATATCACTAACATATATATAGATTAATGAATTTATCCTAACTACACATTGCATATGCTATTCATCACTGCCAAAACCTAAAAAGGAACCAACTGACTAATATATCTTCTTGACCAAAACCATCGCACCATAAAACAAAACACCTAACGTGTTGTAAAACTTTTGATGTATCGCTTTTCTAAGTATACAGAAAACATTGTCGTGTGTTCGGAAGGAATACAAATGTTGTAGGAAAACTATATAAAGAACTTTGCATGTCCATGACAAATTCAAACATCAGACACTATTAATTCATTCATCTCGACGTTAATATATAGAAGAATGAATTGAATATATACGTGGATGAACAACACAGCTATAGTATTAAAAAAAACAGACAATTAATTTTCAAAGATTTTTAAATTCATTTCATATGAGAAAAAAATACTATAAAAATGTGACGCGTTTAACTGATGGCTTTTATTATATAACGCCCCCCCCCCCTAAGATTCGTCGACGCGCATAAATAGTTTGGCTTAGTCCATTTACGTAGACTATTGTGTTTGTGTGTGTGTGTTTTTTAATAATTAAAAATCCGAACATATTTAAAAAGTTAAAAACAAAAATATTTCAACGAAGAATTAACATTAGATGCTAGCATATATATATATATATATATATGTGTGTGTGTGTATAGAATGGTTACAAATTAAAGAGATTTCAACAGATGAATCGAAGTTTCCTATGGCTACATTAACCCTAATCACATTAATTAATGCTAAACCTAGCTAAGTGTATATACAGTATTTAAGGTCGAAGACCCATATTAGAAATTTAGAATGTTCAACAAACATAGCGTAATCCGAAACTCGTTTTGACTATAATTACAAAAATGAGACTATGGAAAATGTTGAAATGTAGCTTACATGTTTTAGTCTCCTGTTCAAGAAGATAATGGATCTAAATTCGAAATTTCTTAGTTAATTAAACATTAAATTAATTTTTAGTACGTTTGAAGAAAAAATATTAACATAATCATCGAACAAGATAATTATTTATACAAGATGGGAAATGACAGTGAATAATGTAGTAACTTTGAACGAGAGAACACAACATGTGAGGTGTAAGAGTACCCATTGTTGAGTACTGTTGGGATGGTTTGGTTGAACATGAAATTGATATGAGTGATATACATTTGCGAAACCAAATTGTTATGGTCCCTCAAGTTAGGTCCATTGCTATACTTAGAAGTAAATTAAAAGGCATGCATTTTTCGTGTTTACTGTTATTTAACTATTGACATTATGACATTATGATTACTATTATAACATTTCAATTGTATATAAATTAAAATGTAATAAAAGTTGGCAAACAGACGCCTAACTACCCAAAATTGATAATTTCGTGGGTATAAATATCAAACCTATCGTTTGATTTGCCATGATATAGTTTTGTTATCTGTTAAAGATTTAATTTCTATTACTTTTGTAAATTTTGACAAAAGTCACAGAGAATAAAAGAAAAAGAAAAGACCTAAAGTTACATAAACCACTAAATTTACAATACAATTATACAAACAGAAAATAGAAAAGAAAACACCTTAATTTCCAAAAAAAAAAAACTCTTTTGGCTCTATTTGTTTGTTATATACTCTTATGATTAACGTAATCCATTAGTCTATATATCTGTAATCGCTTCTCTGTTTGTTACCAAAGAGTTTAAGAATTTTCTTTATTTATGAAAAATAAAAAGAAGTATTTTTAGGAAAACTTTTAAAAATTACATTGTCAAGTTTTATTAGCGTGTAATTGTGTATAATTTTTTGGAACATGGCAAAAGAATTGAACATGTACACGCAACAAACTTGCAATAATTAAACATGATTAATGTTAAGGTACTTGCATTTACGGAGTTCTATGGATGGTTAATGGTTTAAAAGTTTATAGTCATAATTAAAAAGAACAAACATCAACCAACTTTTCAAACTATTTTAAATTCATATATAAACGATTCAAATTTGAACTATTTGATGTTTTAGAAATATAGGAAATCTTGAAGTAGCTAGTATATATCTCTTTATATATATACATTTTTTTTTTGAATAATCAAAGAGGTTCTGGGCCGAAACTCATATATCCCTGAGACCAAAACATGTTATATGATCTCGTCTCAATCGCTACTCGAACCGGCGACCTCTAAGCTTTTGCCAAATATTTTAATTACCAATTAAACTATTAGCACTTGGTTTTTTATATTTACTTGCAACCTATATGCTTCTAAAGTTCTAATCATTTAAAAGAGAGGACATATTCGTATATTTAAAACTTATGAATTTGTAAATTGCCTTGGATATTTGAAGTAGATTTTAGTTTACATGAACCAATGGACTGATCATCTACGTACATGTCAATCTTTATAGCTAAAGAAAATAGACGTAGTTGTTGCCAACAATTAAAAGATTTTGCTTGATCCAGACTTTAAGGGTCATTTTCATCTTTTGCGATTGCATGAGAATCATGTTAATAATATCTCTGTCGACTATTTTAGAAATTTTCTACGGATGTTTGATGACTCTTATGGCGTAATGCTCCCCAAACCTTGCCACTTAACACTTTTTGTACGTTGAGTTTTGATTTCTCTTAGCTTTTGTGAACCGACCAGTTTTTTTTTGTTGTGCGTACGTATTGACTTGTTTACGCATATTTTGGCTCAGTCGTCATAACTCTCTTGCCCCATGTCTTCGCACAATGACATTAGTTTTTCAATTCTCTTAGATGTATCACTTGATAATGTTCTCATTAGCACAACAAATCAATACTCCCTTCTTACAACAAAGTATTCGTGAAAATATATCTAGACTGTCGAAAATTAAATATGTAAATCAATGAATGAATGAATACTGTGTTATTATGATCACTCATAATATTGAGATGGTGTTTTACAATAATTTATCGACTTGACTTAAAGTGGTGCATGTGTTTATGTATTTTGGGTGTATGATTATGAAGATGCTTTTTTTAGAAGGTGCATGTGATTCTCTTTGTAACAAAAATTGTGTGGGAAATTGGGTACATGCATGCAAATGCTTTTAGTGGGTATATTTGATTTTTTTGAGTGATGAAGATTCATGTTTATCTCCTAAAATGTTATATCGTTTTGATCAATAAGAGATGGAAACTGGTGTGTGACAGAATCTTCTCTATGATTCATGAGATTTCATATTTGAAAATAAATGATATCAGCAAAGATCAAATACTTGGTATTCAAATTGTATAGGTGTAAGGATGATATTAGCAATTTCAAGAAAAGATTCAAGATTTTGCCAAAAGAAATACAAATATAAAAAGATTCAAGAAAACGATAAAAGAAAATAACTGTATATATATAGTTTAATTTTATTATTATTTGATATAGTAAGATTTAAAAGACAAAATCACAATTATTTTGAATATTCTACCATATAGTATACCACTAGTTGATTTTAAATACCATTTTTGTTATATATAATAAACATAAACTAATCAACATACTATATCTATTCAATAAAAAAAAACATGTAGAATCACTTATAAGTTTTAATGAAGATTTGGTGAACAAAAAAAAAAAAGTTGTAATGTAATAGTTATATAATTTTTACCATTTGGTAACAAAATTAAAAACCTATAAAATCAGAATCTAATCTATTCATAAGAAATTAAAAGAAAGAAAGAAAGAAAAAAAAGTTCAAAAAAGGAGATTCCTTTTTTTTTTTTCCTTCTACCACAAAAAAGTTTTTTTTCCTTACTTGTTCCATTGGTAACCCAAATTAGAAGATATGGTAAAGAAGAAAGGACAAAACCGTCATTTACTCTTAATGGCATTAGCTGTAATTAACAAGATTCTAAAGGGTAGTTTCTATGTCTATCTCCTATATATTGTCCGAACCCTTACTTCAAATCTCCTTGTCCTTTCATTTCTCATTCTCCTCTCTCTCCTCTCTCTCCTCTCTCTCTCTTTTTAAAATTACAAAAAGAGATAAATAAAAATAAAAAAAAGCTTCCTCGGGTTTGTTTGTTATTTTTAAAGTTTACTGTTTTCACCGCAGTAAAAAAAAAAAACAGTTTCGGAAATTTACTGTTGCTGACGTGGCATGCACCCAATAGGAAACAGCTATGAATACAAAAACGATGCGTCTTCCACCACGCCGAGTTATCTCCGGCACCGTCGCCGGGAAACAAACGGAAACCGTCGTGAAAAATCCACCACCACCGACGACGCCGATTAAATCTATCCTCAAGAAAACTCCGTTCATCCCTCATCCGTCACCACCAACAACAACCGCCGCCGTAGCCGTAGTAGCCGAGCCGGGTTGTTCGAACCAGCTCTTAGCCGGGTACTTGGCTCACGAGTTTCTCAACGAAGGCACACTCTTCGGAGAGCTTTGGAACCCATCTAGAGCCCAAGCCGGCCCATTTACGGCCCAATTAACTGAGACGAAGAGAACTAAGCCGAGCCATCATGATATAGAAGAGCCGAGTGATCAGAAACGGAGGAGGAGATATGTTGAGGTTGCTAACATACTCCGTGTTGATGGCGCACACTTGCCTGGTATCGTCAACCCTTCACAGCTTGCTCGTTTCCTTAAATCGTGACGGCGTTAATCGACGTGGAGCTTTCTTATTGGTCCGTCTTTTAAATTAACAAGACGGTCGTAATACCGAAACGTTTCCTTTTATTGTAAAGCTCTCTCTCTCTCTGTCTCTCTCTATCTATCGTCTTCTTCGAAATTGACTCAGAAATGTTTAGGGTTTCGAATTTTGTAATATGGTTTCGATTAGCCAAAATTTATGCTTTAAAAATTGAAAAAATTGGATCCAGATTTTAGTGTTTTGTTGAAATTTTGCGTTTATTTTATTTTGTATGATGAACAAAAACATGATCATATAAAAAAAAATCTTAGATCCGATTCGTTTGGAAAATGAGATAATCAGTCTCTTTGGGTAATACAGTAATAGGTTACAGTTTGATTCTTGCATGAACTAATTGAAGAAGCAATCTCTGTTTTTGAGTTTGTTTTTAGACAGAACCTAATCGATTTGCTAATTGGGTTTTTTAATATTACCATTTTTAGTATACTGTTCGGTTTCTTAGTATTGAATTTGTGTGTCTTAATGCTTGAAATCTCAATAAGTTTCGTTTCTGGGTAATGATAAAAGATGTTTTCTAATTCATAAATCACATGTAATGTTGTAAGGACAATACTTGAATACTTGGGCAATCAAGAACATGAATTTACATATGTTTGGTCTTAACAAAATAGTGTTGAGTTTGGTTCTGTTCAATCGTTGTGGTTAAGGATAGTTAAAAGCTTATGTGGGTTTAGTTTGGATTTGTAAGTAAAGTAATGACTAGTGAGTAATGTTAAGGTCTTTTTAACTTATTTAAACATGAATCTTTAAGCAATGTTGACATGAAACTCTGATAAACAAATTTTTGACTCTACCAAGTCCCAAGCATTCACGGCGTTGAAGTAAGCTGCAGCATGAACTTATTAGTCAGGTCGAGTATTTTGTTTATCCATTTTGACAATTTCTTATGATTATTATATAAGTCAATGAAGTTTTTATTGACTCTTCAACTTCAATGAGTGGCTATGTAAGAAAAAAGAAACACTTGCAATTTCATTAGTTTTTTTTTTTTTTTTGGGTTGGTGTTTCTGATTTATTTATGTCTGACAACCTCTTGAACTGAAGTACGTTTTCTCAAATTTAATTCTTTATTTATTTTTGTTCATATGTAATTTTTGAAAATTTCTGTTTAATGCACAGCCAGCTGCAAATTGGAAATCTAGACCATATTGGTAGTATTTTGAAATTTATAAGTTACAAAGAATAATAGATTTTAAAAAATCAGTTGTAAATTGTAATGAATTTGAGCATCTTATATATAAACACCCTTTGAACAAAAAAATATATATATACACACCCTACATTTTGACCCAAAAATAAACGCCCTATATTTTTTTCATTTGATATTTCATTTTAGATATAAAATGTAACCATAACACATCAAAGAAGGATAGAAAAAAAAACCCACACCATTAGGTGCAAAAAAAGAAGATATGAGCGGAGAAGCTTATAACCATTTCAAACTTATAAAAATCTTCCTTCATCCTCCTCAAGAATGTGGTTCTTCTCGGTGTATTTGGGTCCTCCTTCTCACATTCCAAGCTCAACCATGGAATGCTTTGCCTCCTATGAGTTCTATGCGGCAGCGCTACGTATGTGCTATTTGATGTAGAGAATTGTACCATCCCCTGATGATGATGTTGCAGAAGTTCTGGCGAGGATTACAGGCACCAAACTCTTAGAAGTGCAAATCGTGCTCGACAACCAAATGTAAATCAAGTAGAAATCATATGTAATTTATTGAAGTGAGAACTTGAGGCAATTGTAAGTTCCATATTCACCATACATTCTAAATACTATAAATCTTAATTTGTCAGCTTAAGATTAAAAAAAAAAAAAGTTTATAACCATGTCAGTTTAATACCAACGATTTGGTGGAAGGGGAAGCAATATCACATTCACGAATCACGAAAAGTAATTAAATTCTTATTCTTTAATAGAATGGGAAAAAACTTAACGTTAATTAATCAAATATTTTAAAGATAAATTACATATATTAAGGGGGCGATTGGTACGTGACTTTTAAAGCTGTAGAAATATTTAAAGCCTTTACAACAATTTATTTGCCAATCAAACATTTCTGGTTTTTATTTTATTTTAAATATTAAAAGCCATTTCTATTTTTTTCTTTTTTGTTTTCTCAATTTTTTTGAAGTGTCAACAACAATTATTTTGCGATTTTATTTGTAGTTTATAGATTATTTTTTGAATTTATATATTTAATTTTTTTGATTATTTATTTAATTACCGTTATTACTTTCAGTGTTTTTTTTTAGTTTGTAAACTTTTTCTAATGACATTTCAATATAAATCACAATTTAAAAGGTTATGTTTATTTGTGTACATTTCAATTAATATAGTAGGAAGTAACAAATTACAAGCAATTTGATTACAAATTAATTTTAATTGTATTGTTTGTCAATTACACAATAGTAATTTACAAGTTGGAGTGTAATTTGGGAACCAAACGATTTACGCTACAAAATAAACCAAATTAATCTGACCAGACCGGTTCAAAAAGTCTCCCCTCTCTCGCGCCAATTTGACCAGAAAAAAACTAACGGCGGTCGTCAATTTGCTTCTCGTCATCCGAACTCATAAACCGAATATTCTGGTTAACCAATTACTTTAATTAAAAAAAACTATAATAAAAACCAAGATTATACATTATAAATGCCAATAATCTTTACTATAAGTACTTATTATGTGAATAATGTTCAGAAATTCGTATAAATTTACCTTAAAACACATACAAATTATATACATCTAATACACTGAACCAAACCAGACCGAACCGAACCGAACCGAACCAGATGATTTTGACGGATCATTGACCGCTTTTCACGTTAAATCTAAATTCATCGTCGTCTTCCCCAAACGCCGAAAGTTTTAAAAAGCGTTGGTAAAGTTTATTTGTTTTCGAATCTTCCAAAGCAAAGATTTTTTTTTTTTTTTTGTGTTCTCTGTAAGCTTCTTAGTGTATGTATATAGATATAGACTAAATCAATCCCTGAGTAATGGCTATGGCGAGTTTATACCGGCGATCTCTTCCTTCTCCTCCGGCGATTGACTTTTCCTCCGCCGAAGGCAAGGTATAATTTTCTGATCGATCAATTTTTTTTATTTTTTTTTTCATTGATTCGGATGGTCAATTAGGTTTTCGAATTTTGCTGTTTATCTGAGATTTCGTGAAAATTGTGATTTATTTCGGGTATAGCTAATCTTCAATGAAGCGCTTCAGAAAGGAACCATGGAAGGATTTTTCAGGTTGATTTCGTATTTCCAGACTCAGTCTGAACCAGCGTATTGTGGTTTAGCTAGCCTTTCAGTGGTGTTGAATGCTCTTTCTATTGATCCTGGACGCAAATGGAAAGGTATGGCAGATTTTTAAAGTTTTAGTATGGAGATTTGTGTAGCTAGATGATGACCATATATAAATGATGGAGATAGGGCCTTGGAGGTGGTTTGATGAATCAATGCTGGACTGTTGTGAGCCATTGGAAGTGGTTAAGGAAAAAGGTATTTCGTTTGGGAAAGTTGTTTGTTTGGCTCATTGTTCTGGAGTAAAAGTTGAGGCTTTCCGGACTAGTCAGACCAGTATCGATGATTTTCGTAAATTTGTGGTGAAATGCACGAGTTCTGAAGATTGCCATATGATCTCAACGTATCACAGAGGTGTATTTAAGCAGGTAGCTGCTTGCAGCATAACTGTGGAACACTTGTAATACACTGTTTTGTATAGGCTTGTTATATATACTAGGTTTGCAAGACATGCTAAAGTCATGAATGACTCTTGTCGCAGACTGGGTCTGGTCACTTTTCACCTATTGGTGGCTATAATGCTGAGAGAGATATGGCTTTGATTCTTGATGTGGCTCGTTTCAAGTATCCTCCTCACTGGGTTCCTCTTGAACTTCTTTGGGAAGCCATGGACAGCATTGATCAGTCTACAGGGAAACATAGAGGGTTCATAATCATTTTCTATCTTTTTCTTAGGTTCTTAGCTGTATCAAGGATGTAATTGTTTTTATAGAATATGGTCTGATGTTTTTCTGTGTTGTTCTCAGGTTCATGCTCATATCTAGACCTCACAGAGAACCCGGATTACTCTATACTCTGGTATGTTTGATGCAATATGGTTCTCTTTGTGTTTTTGTTAATAGTTTGCTTTTCTTTTTAGCTTATGTTATTCATTTTTCTCACCCACAACTTTTACTGCTTTGATGCGAATGTGAATTTGATAACTTAAAAGAGAACATCTCTTCCCAATGTATTGAATGAACTTCAGATCCTTGGTTCATATCATGGGTACTTTGGTATTCAAAACTTGTGGATTGGTGATAATGTTGCTTTTATATATCCCAGAGCTGCAAGGATGAAAGCTGGATCGACATAGCCAAGTATTTGAAGGAAGATGTTCCCCGTCTCGTAAGTTCAGAGGATGTAGATTCTGTGGAAAAAATTCTATCAGTTGTGTTCGAGTCACTTCCATCAAATTTCAACCAATTCATCAGATGGGTGGCTGAGATCCGGATTACAGAGGACTCAAACAAAAATCTCAGCGCAGAGGAGAAATCGAGGCTGAACTTAAAGGTATCTTCTGTCTAGATTCACCAACGTAAAGGTCACATAAATGATAAACCACAAAGTTGCATGAAAATAACTGTTCATCCCTTTAAAGAACACTGTTGTTGATTCATTTTCTGGCGATACCCTGGCTTTTAATCGGCTAACCTTAAGTTAATCTACTGCAGCAATTGGTCCTGAAAGAAGTGCATGAAACTGAACTGTTCAAACACGTCAATAAGTTCTTATCCTCAGTGGGTTACAAAGACAGTCTGACATATGCTGCTGCGAAGGCTTGTTGCCAAGGAGCTGAAATCTTATCCGGATGCTCATCAAAAGAGCTTTGTTGTCGGGAAACTTGTGTGAAATGCGTCAAAGGTATGTAATTATCAACACTAATCTGACCTTTTCCTTTGCTGTTATCAGGCTTGACCGGACTAGAATTAGTAATTAGCAATTTCAACAGTTTAACCGTTTTTCCTTCCATCAAGGTCCTGGAAATGATGAAGGCACGGTCGTTACCGGAGTTGTGGTGAGTGACGGGAATGAACAAAAGGTTGATATACTGGTGCCATCGACTCAAACTGACTGTGAATGTGGTTCAGAAGCAAATTATCCAGCAGGAAACGATGTGTTCACTGCACTTCTGTTGGCTTTACCTCCACAGACATGGTCAGGGATCAAAGACCAAGCTCTGATGCATGAGATGAAGCAGCTTATCGCCATGGTTTCCCTCCCAACTCTGCTTCAAGAAGAGGTAACTTTTTTACCAATTCTATTTCGGTCAAAGAGTCACTGTTCTATATCTAGTAGAACATCGTTAAGAGTCTTTCGGAGCAAAAAACGATAAACTAAACCTAAGTCGAGACTGAAAAAGAGTGACTATTTTCGAGTTTGTCTTTAGGATATAGCTAAATAAAATGCGGAATCTAAATGAGTAATTGGTGAAATGATTATGAGAAGCAGAGGAGTAACATGTTGAATTTGGGGTAACTACAGGTATTGCATCTTGGGCGGCAACTTCAGCTGCTAAAACGATGCCAAGAGAACAAGGAAGAGGAAGATCTAGATGCTCCTGCTTATTAATTTATCGTCACTAATTTACTCTCTCTTAATTCGAACCCCCACGCCCTGCAATGAGATATATTTGTAACATATGCTATTTGTAAGGTGCTAATCATAATAAGCTAAGAATCACATTCATCTCACTATACTCCAAATTAAGAAGCAATATACTTTTCTTATTCAGCAGAGACATACGTGTCATGTTTGGTTCACTGTTGTTGGTTTACATAAGAAGTCATACAAGTGGTTCGATCAACTGCTAATCATAATAAGTTTACTTTGTAGTTCAATGTACTTTGATTCGCTTTACCTCCACATACATGCATGGCTCGGGATGAAAGACCAAGCTCATTTCTGTGGATACCATTTCGACTATGCAGCACGAAGAAGTGTAAGTCGGAAAGTTTCAGTATCAACTATCAAAATTCTTCTGAAACTATAATGAACTCCTGAGTTGAGTATGTGAATTACCTCTGAATCTGAGTGGTTACAGCCTTACAGGTATCTCATCTCTAGCACCGACTTCGTCTGCTAAATCGATGCCAAGAGAACAAGGAAGAGGAAGATATCACTGCTCCTCCTCCCAACTAATTCACTCTACTCAAACTTATAAACCCTAATAATTCAAACTCTATATTCAAAGAGAGAGAGATTGTGCTCATCCTAAGATCCATATAGGTAACATATGCAATCAATATACTATATAAGTTATTAACCATAATCATCACATCACAACTCTACTGCAGGATTATGAATCCACTCTTCTCATTCTCGCACACAACATACACAAAAGTAACCCTTTAAATCCTACAAATCCGCAAAAGGTCTATACCTTTCTTCACCATTCCAAAGACCGAATCCTGCGTAAAAACCTCTGCTGCTGAGGTTTCTCAACCACAGGAATCACAAACTCCATCAGCTTCTGGTATCTCTCTTTCCTCTTCTCTTCAATCTCCTTTGAAAGCAACTCATTCTCTTCTTCAAGCTTAGCAGCCAAAGTTTCCAACTCAACTTGATAAGCTTGTTTCCTCTCTCTAGACCTAGCAGCAGATTCACGATTCTTAATCATCCTTCTCTGTCTTTGTGCAGCTACTTTATCCAATGGCTCAACCATAACTCTAGCTCTCTTCCCTCTCGCTCCACCACCACCGCCGTAAACATCTAAACCATTCCCAAACGCAACAATCGATCCTTCAACTTTATCAATCATCTGAAACGGATTATGCGGCGGCGCGGAATGATCGAACCCGTAATTCGTCGGCGAAATCTTGACATCCAAATCATCCGCCGCTCCAGCTTCATCCCCCACCGCAGCTTTCGCTAAAAAATCCTCTAACGTCATTATCTCTTCCTGCGTCTCTTCCTTCATACCTTTCCCTTCTCCTGATACCATCTCTCTCCAAACCTCATCAACACTCTTCCCATCACGCGTCGTCGTCGTCGTCTCCGTTCCTCCTTCCACAACAACAGTCATTGTCGCAGGAGAAGCATCCATGAGAGTAATCGAAGCATCGAGAAGCGATGACTCCGTCGGTGCAGGTGGATCTGAAGCGAAAGTATCGTGTAAAATACCTTCAACCGTCATGGAAGTTGAACTGTATAATAAACCGTCGTTTCTTACGCCGTAACCGCCATTAGAGAGATCTCGCCGGAACTGTTGTTGATGAGGTCTTATAGACGACGAAGAAGAAGAAGAAGAGATACGATGAGATAGATCCGAGTTTCTAGAATTCGAAGAACGCATCACCTGAAACGACGTCATTTTTTGGGTATGAACAAAAAAAAAGTCCGTTGATGTTCCTCTCTCGCCGGAATCGGATCACTCGATTTCTTTGACTCAGCCTAAGTTTTGAAATTTCCAGAGAAGCAGAGAGATTTGATTATTATTTAGGGGTTTTTTGTGTCGGATTGAGAACTTTTCGTAATTTATCCCAAATTGTAATCTCAAACTGAAAGAAATAAGTAACTTAACGCGCACAGTGGCGCGTGAGTTTGAAATTTTTATGTTTCAAAATATGATAAGGTTAAAATGGATAAGATCATAATAACTCTTTTTTTTTAACTTTAGGAGCGCGTGAGAAGATTTTGCCTCGTGTCATCATAATGTGGTGGTTTGTAACTTAAACATTCAATTATTGTCAGTATCATTAAGGCAGTATTTTACCTCGATTAGAATATTACTCCCATCTGATGACAGGGATTAGTAAAACGCATCCGTTGTCTTTCGTGTTACGTTTGTACTAAAGCTTTTTATTGAAAAACTGGATAGTTCGTATTATTCATGTGTATAGGAAGGCCAACTGTCTTTCTGATTGGTAAACTATGCTTTTTTTTATCTTTTAGTTTCCATTCTTTTGATTTGGTTCCGCCGGTTGTAACATCAATCTTAAGAGACGATAATCTTAGTTATGGACGTTCATGATGTGTTCGTGTGTAATTTGTTTTTTACTTTTATTTGAATAAATTGAGCATAGCTCCCGAGAATTACAAAAAAAAAAAGAATATTATTATTACCAATGAAAAAATATATATCTATATATATAAAGTTAGGTTTTTCTCTCTTCTCATGATGCCACCTAAGCCACATTTTTGTTTAAACATTAAAATAAATTTAAAATATTCATTTAGTGCATATTTATGTTACTTATTTAATTAATAGAAAGTTTATATAAATAAAAATAAGTTATGTAAAAAAAATGAAATGTTAAAATAAGAAAAACAATACTTTAATTTTTTTATTAGTGATAATAATATAAGGGAGAATTTCAAAAATACCCATTTTCCAATACCACTTTTTAAAAATACCCTCTTTCTAATTTTATCAAAAGTCACTATAAAATTTGAAATTTATAAAACAAATATGTATAAACTTATATTTATAGACACAAATTATTTTTACATGTGTGTAAATTTATATATATATTTCATAAGTACCGTATAA